TATTAGCAGATCTTTGATTGTGTTGGCTACTTGCATCACAGCAGCCCCCACAGTAGATTTGCCCACTCCAAATTGATTCCCAACTGACCGGTAGCTGTCTGGCGTTGCAAGCTTCCACAGGGCTATCACCACTCGCTTCTCAACTGTGAGGGCTGCTCTCATCTTGGTATTCATGCGCCTCAGGGCAGGGGAAAGCAAGTCACAAAGTTCCATGAAAGTGCCCTTACGCATGCGAAAGTTTCGCAGCCACTGGGAATCGTCCCAGACCCGCAACACTATGCGGTCCCACCAGTCTGTGCTTGTTTCCCGAGCCCAGAATCGGCGTTCCACAGCATGAACCTGCCCCATTTGCACCATGATGCATGCATTGGCAGGGCCCATGCTTTCAGAGAAATCTGTGTCCATGTCCTGATCACTCACGTGACCGCGCTGACGTCGCCTCCTCGCCCGGTATCGCTTTGCCAGGTTCTGGTGCTGCATATACTGCTGGATAATGCGTGTGGTGTTTAATGTGCTCCTAATTGCCAAAGTGAGGTGAGCGGCCTCCATGCTTGCCTTGGTATGGCGTCCGCACAGAAAAAAGGCGCGGAACGATTGTCTGCCGTTGCTCTGACGGAGGGAGGGGCGACTGACGACACGGCTTACAGTGTTGGCTTCAGGGAGCTAAAATCAACAAAGGGGGTGTCTTTACATCAAGGAGTATTTCAGGCAGGACTTCACGGAGGGTTCCAATAAGAAATGGTGCACCTAAGTTATTGTTCTTATTGGAACAAGGTGGTTAGCCTGGCCTCTGATTGATACATGGCTAGATTTACCTCGCTGCACCTTCTCTGTGAGTGACTGCAGTGTGATCTAGAAGAATGAGTCCCCTAGACGGGGGAGGGGGGAAAGCAAATGAATACAGAACAAATCTGGTCTACTCCATCTATCTTTTACATCTTTGGCTGGCAGCAGACGGTGCAGAAGGACTGCATGCCATCCACATCTCATGGCTGCTCGGCAGAAGATGGTACAGTACGACTGCTAGCCATCCTCATCTCTTTCCTGCCCGGCAGAAGATGGTACAGTACGACTGCTAGCAATCCGTATCGCCTGCCTGCTCACCATAAGACGGTTCAATAGGACTGACTGCAGGACTAAAGAGAATGACCTGGTCAAGTCACTCTAAATTAAGTCCCTGCGCCCATGTCTGTCCAGGCGCTCCCAGCCAACGTGGCCAGGAGCACCTCGGACATGACGATGACGGCTACCAGTCGTATTGTACCGTCTGCTGCAACAAGGCAAGGGGTTGCTGCTACTGTGTAGGAAAGCCGTACCGCATCTGCCAGCACCCAGGAGACATACGGTGACGGTTACCTGAGCGGGCTCCATGCTTGCCGTGGTATGGCGTCTGCACAGGTAACTCAGGAAAAAAGGCGCGAAATGATTGTCTGCCCTTGCTTTCACAGAGGGAGGGAGGGAACGGGGGCCTGACGATATGTACCCAGAACCACCCGCGACAATGTTTTAGCCCCATCAGGCATTGGGATCTCAACCCAGAATTCCAATGGGCAGCGGAGACTGCGGGAACTGTGGGATAGCTACCCACAGTGCAACGCTCTAGAAGTCTACTCTAGCCTCGGTACTGTGGAAGCGCTCCACCGAGTTAATGCACTTAATGCACTTAAAGCATTTTCTGTGGGGACACACACACTCGAATATATAAAACCGATTTCTAAAAAACCGACGTCTATAAATTCGACCTTATTCCGTAGTGTAGACATACCCACAGTGATAAGAGTGCAATGCTTGCAAATGAATCCTGCCAGCTTCCTTAAAATTGAGCCTCGTTAATATGGGACTCTAAGCCAATCACACACAATGATGAAGGTGACTCTCTTTTTTTATTATTATTTTATTTTATTTTGGTCAGGTGAGCTTCTGCATGAATTTTTTTTTTCCAGCTGATGCATTTGGCTTAGCTAATTGTGAAGGCCGAGCTGCCATATTTGGCGCTGCATCTTCGTTGGTTTTGCACAGAGAAGAAGATGGTCCTTTTATTAATGCCAGCAGTTGATTGGCCAAAGCTTATAGAATCTTAACTGTTAGGAGATACGGTGTTTGAGGAAAAAACTAAAGGGTGAACTTCTGCAGTTCTTGAAACAATGGTTTCCTTGTGAGATTTGATAAGACTCTTAAAAGTGGAAGCTGCAGGGATTTCTTTAGAAGCTGTTACGTTTCACAACTTGGGATATGAACAGATCTTGCTACATTAGAATTATCCTTTAGTTTTGGCATTCATTCTTTCTTTTTTGGCATTATTGTTCTTTTTAATTAAGCACTTTTTAGCTGAAGTGTGTAGCAATTTACATACATATCAAGACTGAAAACCTGGTCCCATCAACAGAGCCAGGATTTCACCCCAAAAGCCCAAGATACAGAACCTAATTCCTTGTAATCTCTTGTTTAATGGAAACAGGTTCAAAAGTGTGGTGGCCCTTCTATAAAAGCCAGCTGGCAATGAAGTTTACAAACCACACCGTCTTTTTAAAATTCAAAATTGGATGTCCATTCTGAATGGAATCTGGAAGTGTATTCTGATGAATAAAGTAAAGATATTATTTGCCATATTTTTCTCTTAATAGTAATTTAAATAACTTCTTTTCTAAAGACTCAGACCTAATAAACAGTGCCTTGGGTTTTAATGTAATTTAGCACTGGTGGAGCTCTCTGTATTCTAATAAAATTAAAAATGACTACAATAATAGACCATCATATTTCATCTGATTAAACAAAATTCTGTACGCTGGTTTGAGACTGTACATCGGATACTGGAAATCAATCTCATCTTGGATTATTTTCTATAATTAAAAAAGCATTTAATTAACCAGTAGTTCTACAAGCATATTTTTGGAGTTGACTTCTTATATTTTTATACATTTTTTATTTTTTTTCACATGCTTACCATTCTAGGTTGCTTAAAACCTTTTTTCCCAAGACCGAGAGTTCATAGAAATATGGTTAAGTATAAAGTTAATACAATTAAAAGAATGAAAACTTTAAACGAGCATGTAAGGTTTAATGATTAACTCATGTATAAATATTTACTAATATATGTTTGAATCATGGTTTAAACCTAATTATTTTGGTTCCCTGTTTGTGAGTACTTACTTAAGGGATGGACACTAATCTTTACTCTGCATTTTGCTCGTGTGTTTGCATGTGTCTAACTTACTTCAAATTGAAATAAGAGAGTATTACAGGGGTGGGAGAGAAGTGTCGCTAGCAAAAGTGTATTCTGATGTAAGTTCTACTGTAAACTGTCTTATGAATCCTAACATGCATGGGAAATGTAGAAATGGAAAATAAAAGTTTTGCTGTGTGACATTCTTGACTAAACTGTTCTTGCTTTACGAATAGGGCTTCAGGTTTTAAATGAATATCATTAAAAACTTAATGGTAAATATCTGTAGACAAGAAAACCACTCTATAATTTGAACACTGGAGTTTCCTTCCAAGCCCAGTGTTGATGTCTACAGCCTAAATTAAATCATCACACTGTGAGTGCTGAGATCAAGAATAGTCCTGTTTCATATCAATAAATGCCTGAAAATTGCTACTTTGGGGTCTAGTAAAGATCCCAAAAATACCTGCTAGGTGGTTTGCAAATAAATGGTGAAAACCAGAGGCCCTGTTAACAGGTGGCTAAAAATGCCTTCTATTAGGAATGCATTTAATGTTAAGACTGTTTTTTCGTGTGTATCTACAGAGACGTTTATAAATCACAGCCAGGTATACAATTTTTTGTGTTCGTTTGTTGGGCAGTGGTACCATAGACTGACTATACAAGGGTGGATAGTACTTTCAGATGGTAATTATTTAAGTTATAGTGAACACAAGTAACAGTGTAAGAGTACCTTTCTGTGACATTTGAAACACTACAGCCCAATAGTTTGCCATCCAGAGCTGGAAACATTTTTCATGTTTACCCATATCTGGTTGATATGCTGTGGCATGATTACTTCTGAAATGGGAGTGCACACTTCTCTGAGCTTCTGTAGTAAATTATGGTTGAAGTATTCCTTTGTGCTCTCTTTGAAGTCTATGGCAAAAGTGCTCCTGACATTAATGGAAGCAAGATTGCCCCCAAAATGTATCAACTACTGAAATGTATTCACTGGCTCAATATTTCAGACTGTAAATATAGAAAATACTCATCTTTCCATTTGTTAAAAATCAAACAAATCCATCATTTTTCAGTTACAGAACTGATCATGTTTTTAAAATTACTGCAAATAAACTGATTATCATTAAATTATCCTTCCAATTTTCACTACCTAAAAATGCGTTTTATTGACATGAAAATAAAATGGAGGAATGTGTCTATTATTTAATACTGTCTTATAAGACACATTCTCTCAAAGTCCCTTTATGTTAGCTGCTCTTATGATATAAGATAGAATGTAATTGGGATTTATGTAGTACAGTTCTAAATGTCCCAGAACTCTTTGCAAAAATAAAACACGCAGCATTTCGAGGGTGAAATTCTCCCCTGTGCAAAGGGTCTGCACAAGACACTATACCACACTTAACTCTGCTCACTTAATGTGAGTTCTGAGTGGCATGGAGACCTCTGCTCATGCCCTCTGCTTCAGGATGAATTTCACTCTTACTGATAAATTTCAAGCACCGTATTGCATATTCTCTCTTACACCTTAGAATTGCTGATTGTGATGACATTCCTTGGTTTCAGGAATGGAGTGCACAAACAGATAAGCCAGTGCCTTATCACTAAGACCTGCATTTTAACATCCACTTTGGTTTAGATAACAGACATGGGACGCTCTCAAAGTATAGCTAATCAGCAGTAAGATAATACCAAATGGTAGGGGTTATCAAAAACACTTAGTTGTGTATTTTAATGATGAGGCTTAGAGTACTGGCACGGTGGTATTCTAATGATATGAAAGCAAGTTGACAGTGGGCAGCAGCAATAATCTTGTATTGGCTTTGTCTTGTAGCCACCCGACATCATGTTGCAGTGCAGCAGAGATCATGTCCGTGCTCTTTTTTCATACCATGAGGTACAAAGCGAAAGATCCCCGAAACCCCAGCAATGACCGGTTTGTACTCTCAAAGGTAAGAACCAGAACTAGCTGTGCTAAACCTTCTCAATCTAATTCATAAATTAGTTGTTTGTTAAATAAACATACCTGTTTTCTTGACTACTATTCACTGTCATACTTTAGGGTCCTTATCAGTACACAGCTCTAGTAATGACAATACAAATCTTTTCAAAAGACTTTTAAGTTTATTATATGCAACAAAAAAGGAAAATGCCAAATAAAATCTTGCTGAACATGGGAAAGGGTAAGCGTAGTGCCTGAAAGGAATTGCCAGATTTCTAAGCATCGGTGTGTTGGTGTAACATACAACCTATTTAAGCAGTTAAGTTGTTTAATTACAAATTATATATTCTTTCCCGGTACTGTCCGTGAAATATATCCAGAAGCAAAGTCATCTTAAGGCAAAGGTTATTTTTTAGTGTTCCAAGAAATTATGCCATTATGTATATTTTTAACGCATAAGTTATGGTTAAGCTTTCTGTGACATCTCTTCTCTCTGTGGCCATGCTGCCTTTACTGTGATCCTTTCAGAGCTCTGATGTTAAGCTTTGTCAGTTTAGTAATTTGTCGGGAGCCTTACAAGGAGCATGGTAGGCAGCAGCGTTGGTAGTTCAGTGGATGACATTCTTCCCCTATGCACTAGTAAAGTACTAAAGAGAACAGTGCTCCTGAAGGTGTATTCAGCTAAGACATAAAACAAATGTCCTGACTGCTTGAGGTCATCAAAGTTTCCTCGGCACTTTTAGCCGGAGTTGGATGATAGCTTGGAATTCTGGCTAAATTTCAGCTCAGGTAATTACATCCTTGTTATTTAGTGTCTATCTGATGTCTTCTATTTTCTATTCTGAACTGTTCTGTAGTGTTTAATTCTGTTAAACCGCTGGCATATTGCTAGCGTCTTCAGTGGCAGATGCAGTGATCCCTTAGTATATATTTAAGTTTACAAAGCTCTTTGGAAGACTTTATGATGAGTGGCATTTCAAATGTCAGGTATTGTTAAGTAAAAGTGGCAAAAGTAGTTGTGGAGCTCTGTACCGGATGTTGTTTGAAACTAGGGAGCATCCCAGCAGGCTGCAGAATGGGCTGCAAATAGGAAATCTTGAGTTTTCATATGACCAGGCTGAAGTCTGGGACATTACAAAGGTAGTCACCCGCTACAGAGGAAATGTCTATAGCAATTTCTCTAGCCATCTCTGTATATCCTTTGCGTAAAACAGAAACAGTGCTGTCTCTCAGCTTCCTTGATGCCTATATGAATCCTGGACGAGGATAAGGTAGCTAAAGAAACCAGACAAATTTTGAGATGCTGCTGATAGAAAGAGGGAATCACTTCAAAGTAATTGATTCTGCTTAGATACCCCCCACCCCCACCCCCGCAATGTTGAAGGCTCCTGCCGTTGAATTGCTAAACTGCTCCACAGCTTTGGGTTCCTTTTGGATTCCTAGAGCTATTGGGTGCCAAAGTAGCTACGGTTACAAAAAAATGACCACTTCATCTGCAGTTGACCAGAAGATTATACCCATTCATATCAGATTCAGACCTGGCCACAGTGACCTGTGAATTCAAGACCTCTAATCTTGATTGTTATCACTGTATCTAATCTTAAATCCATACACCCTCAAAAAGATCCAGGTGGAACAAAACTCAACATCCCATCTATTCAGAAACACTGGTCGCCATGGGTATATCACCCAGTACTTCATTCTTTGCACTGGCTCCTCATCTAATACAGAGTTCATGTTAAGGTGTCTGTCTTGATACTTGAAGTCTTCCATGAGATTAGACGTACCTACCTGAGAGAGAACCTATCCCTTCTCAAGTATGACCTCCTATAAGAGTTTTAAAATAGGTATGAAGGAAGTCACATTCAGTCTTTCTTGGCTAGAAGTCTAATTATTGTAGTGCAGGCCTGGACCATGGAGAAAGTAAAAGCAAGAATCTGTGGAAATCCCAGGTCTCTGAAAGGAACTCAAAGGGCTTAGAGGCAATATGAAGCAGTGATTTGTTTGCAAGCATTTTAGAACTTGGTCCCTCACATTAAAAAGAAACTTTTGGTGGACATAAAGGGTCCACAGAGCTAAATTTATCTTATTTACACATTTTTATTTTGTTTTGTTATCGAGATACTGTGGAAAGTTGCTCTTTGTTTAGAATTTGTTTTTCTTTCTAGGGCCATGCGGCACCAATTCTGTACGCTGCCTGGGCTGAGGCAGGCTTCCTACCAGAAGCAGAATTATTAAACTTGCGGAAAATTGATTCCATTTTGGAAGGACACCCTGTACCAGTAAGTATTTGAGGAATAAGCTTAATAATTATTTAAAATTGGAGCTTCATGTGAATCAGGAAGTCTGTGCATTTTATGCAACAAGTTCTGTTTGCTAACTACTGCACAGTAAAGTCAAAGATTTTTTTTTTTTTAAGAAGATGGTAACACCTGTGGTTAGCAAAATAGAGAACTGGATGTCCCAATAGAAGTGGATGCCCAAGAATATGAATCTTAACATTTTGGTAAAGTTATAAACACCAACGATGTCCCCATGCAAACCACTTTTATGGAGTTCCAGCATGGTTCATCTTCTTTTCCTGTGGGGAAACTCTGATGTAACATCTCCTGGTTTCGAAGGAAGCTTATCGATTGCCTCAGTGGCTTTTCACCCCCACTCCTGATGGAGCCTCCCCTCCAGAGCCATTAGCTCTTTGCTGTCACTAACGCTACCCCAGGGAGAAGAGTAAGAGAAGGTTTTTTCAAGCAAGGCACCTCAGATTATTTGTTGGAAGCTAATGTTCTTTTCAGTGTCAACTCCTAATCTACCACTTCCACCCTCTCTCTGATGGGATCAGTTTATAGCTGCAGGGCAGTTAGCCAGTGGCACTGTGGCTGCTAAGCCAGCTGTACTGCCAGTGGAGAAAGGGGACAGGGCAGCATGCTTAGGGACTTCGAACTCCATTCAAATGTGCCGAAATCTACAAGCTTGAATTAGAATGGATCTTGGCCTGGGCCCATCTCTTTAATCTCTTCTTAGTGCCAGTTTAGAATCCTGTCCTGCTGCTGTGAGAGTCTACTGGAGTGGGAATGGGCTTTCTCATCAAGACAGGATTTAGTCCTGTGAATTTAGTCTCTGAAGTTCTTAACTGCAAAGTAACTTGCTTTTTTATTTTCAGAAACAACCATTCACTGATGTAGCTACTGGATCCCTTGGTCAGGGACTTGGTGCTGCCTGCGGTATGGCCTATACTGGCAAATACTTTGATAAAGCCAGGTAATCCTTTTCAGTGTTTAGTGTTTGTAGATGTGTAGGGGAGAAAAAAAAATGCTGAGAAAACCGATTGTATTCTTACTCTGATCAAAAATGATTTATTCCATTATTTTCCACTTCTTTCCCCAACTCCAAATTCAGTTTGGCCAATTGAGAGGCCTAGCTAATAAAATTGCACAGATCCAAGGTCTGGCAAAAATTGATGTATGCTGTTCCTGTTTAACCAGACAAAGTTACAAGGGTGATATTACTATTCCTGAAGAGGGAAGGTGGCATGCTATGTGGAGTAGCCACAAGCCTTCAGCATATGGAGAACCACTGTTCTTTCAAAGCGGTTATGCCCACGGGGAAGAACCTCGCTGAATATAGTTGTTACAGGGTAAAGACAGGTGGTGAAGAAAATATGAAGCACAAGGACCTGGTTGTGCACCTATTAAAATCAATGGGAGCACTGCTGGGCTGTAAATAGGGGTCCAAAATGTCAACTGAAATCCGTGCATCTCCAGTGGAACAGGAATGACCATTTCTTCCATTTGTCGGGGTGGAGGACAAGGAAAGTAGATGTCAAAAGACACATGGTTTGAGGAAGAAAGCAATCTAATACGGTTGATGTATATTATATGACAGTTTTAGCACATTCAAATGCAGCTTGCTAAGTTAATATAGTAATAAACCCTACACTTCATTAGCTTGAAATCATTTCTGTGAAAGATAATTTTCTGATTTTAATACAGTTGAACAGGTTGTAGTTGTAGGAATAATTTACCCTGTGATTACTGGCAGCAAATAGTGGTACTACATGTAGGGTTGGAAAGCAGCCAATACGTGTGGAATTGTAATTTGTCTGAGTGAATTATCAAGTTTAGGCCAGCATCTTATGAAGTGTGCTTTAGTAGATGACCGTTACTATGATAATATGGAATAGTTTAGTAGCTCTTCTAATACTTAATTTTAATAGCCTTTTACTCAATTTTGTTTTAAAATTATATATTTGAAGGTAAATATATTGCTGTTGTGATAGTCAACAGGCAGTATTTGTTTTACATGGAGTCCTATGTGGCCATCCAAAAAAGAAATGGTGACAAAAGATAAAGCATAAAGGGCTGAATCCAGCAGTCCATGCTCAGGTAATACTCCTGTCACTGTGAGTTTTGCCTAAGGATGAGTTCAGTATATGTGGAAATAGTCTGCAAAACTATATAATTCTTTTATATTTGCTATGGATGATCATGCATATTCTTACTATATAGTTTAGCCCAGTCTGACTTATGGTTTCTCTGAAATGAAAATGTAGGTGTTTTTTCTAAGGCGTATACTAAATGGAACTGCTGAAATGAGGAAATAAAATGAGGAAGCAAAAAGCAATCCTCAAATAGTTTCCTGCATTGTCAATGATCTTGCCTAGTCACAGTGACAGTGTTTAACAGGCATGTTCACTCCAGCTTTAATTATAATAAGATTCATTTTTACAACTCCTTTCCCAAGGTTACGTGTATCTTAGCTTGCAACTGCATTCTATATCACCATTATAATTGCCATTAATGGAGCATTTCCTCCCTATCAATATATCACACAATAGACTTGGGTCTGGAGGCAAGGGATGTAAGAATACAATACATTTCACATTATATTTACCATTTTTAATAGTTTTTTTTTTATTATTTGTGCTCAACAGCATTCTTATACAGGGACACACATTGCCAAGTATTTTGTAAACTTACCTGTGAGGGTTGCACATTTAGAACTGGAGTGGTATTTGGACTAAAATAGTGGAAGATCTTGTGAACTATTAAAGAGATTTTGAATTTGATTTTAAATAACTAGTGGCATAATACAGAATAGTATTTGGGCACAATCTTACTCCCATTGAAATCAATAGGAAAACTGTAAAATTTCACAAAGACCTATGGTGAGAACAAACTTTTTTTCATGTAAACCAAAAGATTCAAAGAATCAAAATGTTGAAATATGATAAATGGTATTCTGGAAAAAAAATTAATTTACTATACATGGTTTTCTATACATATGAGAGAAACCTGTCTGTAAAAGTTTTTTCTCTGGAGTTTAATTATTCCCTATCACAATTTTTAATTTATTTTACATAGTCAAAATAACACTATATAATCACACCAGTTTCAATTATTTTGGTAATTTATTTCAAAATACTGTCAGCAAATATGTCTGTAACAATACAGACACACAAAAATTCCCACAGGAGTAGAGACTTAAAGAAACCCCTATGACAGCCCAGTTTTTTTATCTCTGCCCCTCTCTTTTCCTCCCCCCCCCCGAGCCCAGCCGTCCCCCGCCGCCCAGACATCCCCACCCCCAGCTCAGACACTTACATCCCCTACCTTCCTAGAGCCCAGGGATCCAGAGGGAGAAACAGCCTGATGCTGGGTCCTGGGCTTGCACAGAGTTTCCTGCATGCCACCTCCTTCCTTCAGGGGGTGCTGGGAACTGCAACAGCTGGGAACCCTCCAGTTCCGTCCCCCTCTCCCCGGCTTTGTCTTCTATTTGTGAGCTGGGCTCTGCCAGATATAATGGCCCCTAGTGGTGTTGGGAATTCTGCACGCACATCGGTAATTTCTGTAAAATTCTGCATGGCGCAGTGGCACAGAATTCCCCCAGGAGTATTTAACAGACCCAATGATCCATATATTCCAATATTCTCACTCCAACAGTTTCAGTACCAGATACTACAAACCTCAATCATTTCTACAAGTGTACAACACTGTACCAATGTGGGAGTTTAAATCAGTCACAGATTGTATTAACCAGCGTGGGGAAAAAAATCTGGGGAAAAAGACCATACACTTAAACAGAGAAAGACTATAATATTTTTAGTCAATTCTATTTAATGAGATTCATACTAGTTTTGTATAATCCTAATTGAATATTGTGTCCTGTTTTTTATGTAACTTGACATACTGACTAACTTTAAAAAAACCCACCCTTTTCTAGCTATCGAGTCTATTGTCTGCTTGGGGATGGGGAACTATCTGAAGGCTCCATTTGGGAGGCAATGGCCTTTGCTGGGTTCTACAAGCTGGACAATCTGGTTGCTATACTTGACATTAACCGTCTTGGACAAAGTGACCCTACACCTCTGCAGCATCATGTTGAGATCTATCAAAAACGCTGCGAAGCCTTTGGGTATGTGGTTGGAAGAAGTTCAGTTTCCTCTTTTCTTGAAACCATGTGTTGTCTGTTTTCCAGGTATTTTCAAATATGCATATTAAAATGCGAGTTGAATTCAGATAACTGCTCAGAGCACCATGCAGGATATTCTCACTGCTTGTCAGGATCAGATCCTTGTTTCTGTATTGAAAGAACAATACAAAGCTGAACTTTTTTTTTAATCTTTGTTTTTTTTTTAATAAAGCTCTTTTATTCATGCAGATTTATTAGAGGAGCTTATCTAGTACTTTAGGGACCTTACATTGTTTTTAAAAAATATGCAAGAATTCTGTATCCAGATGTGTACTAGGCGATGTGTACTACATCTCTTGAGAAACGGGGGAGCCTCAGATGTACAGGGGGCAGGAAGAAGGGATAAAATGTCCTTTTTCTCTTATGGGCATGGAAAACATTATTGTTAAAATAAATGTTTTTATATTTTTACTGCTTCCTGGAAGGTCATCAGCTAGCTTAAAGATCTATAATACTTTTTACATGTGTTCACAAGTATTTACAGGACCTTATAGAAGTTACACAGGCAAATTATAGTTTGATCCATATTACACTGTTTTACAGTTTAAGATGTCTGTTCTTATTCTTTTTTTTTTTTTTAATTTGGGGCACTTGCTCTTGTAATGAAAGGTAGCTGTTATATGGCAAAAAGTGTGGTCAAGTGGGTTAGAATAGGGACCTACGAGATGAAAGTTCTAGGTTCTGATCCCCACCCTGCCACTGTAATGCTGTTTGACCATGGGCAGTTACCTAATCTCTGTCTTATTTCACTCATCTGAAATATGTGTGATTGTTACTGATTTCATGAGTGTTAATTAATATTTTTAAAGTGCTTTGAGAGCCCCTTGTATCATAATGAAGTATTATTAATTATTACTAACTCTTGCAGAGATTCATTTGTATGAACCCTTTAGAAACCATCTGTATGTTTGCATTCCTAGCTGGCATGCTCTCATAGTGGATGGACACAGTGTGGAGGAGCTTTGCAAAGCCTTTGGCCAGACCAAAAATCAACCAACTGCCATTATCGCAAGGACTTTAAAAGGCAAAGGAATATCAGGTAATAACATGACAATTTAATGGCACATGTCTGTATGATTTATATGTGAGGAATGTTTCAAACAGCATTCATAAAGGTATGATCATTTAAGAGCACATAAGGTAAGTAAAGTTAACATTTGATTGGTTAGAAACAGGCCAAAGTCAGACCCTCAGATCAGCAACCTTTTGAATTTGAGAGGATTTCTTGAATTTGAAACCCTCTCTAAAGTTTTCTGCAGTTCTGTGTTGTATGCGACCAGAATTGCAAGATGGCTGAAATCTACCCAGATCTCTTGAGGATCTTTATCACTTGGGACTGAAATTTCATAAAAAGAGCTGGTGAGATTTCAGTGCTGTTGAACGTGAACCTGAACTCTAGGCAGAATTTGGTCTTGCACTGAACCCTGACCTTAGACTAATCTAGATAATGAAACCTCTCTTTATTCCATCTCTACATTTGATATATGAAACTCAGTTCCTCGATAACAATTTCATGAAATGTATAAACTATTGATTTTCTTTATCTGAAGTGCTTTTCAAATTTCTGAGTAAAACTTAAGTTTACAAAAAATTATTAGCTAAATCTTAGATATTTATTTAATCAACTTAAAACAGAGGATGCTGTCCCAGGCTGATCAGGTCTTTGCTTGATGGACTAGATGGGAATTTGATACGAACTGTGGATCTGATCATGCTCCTGTATGGTGAAACCTGGGGCAGGAGGAGACTCCATGATGTTTTTCTGCCATTGAATTCCTCCTGCATTCCTCCCTTTGGGAAGGCATCAGTGTTTGCCCCCCTGCAGAGGAAAGAGAGAGTCTGGCCTACTCACCTGGTGGTTGTTTGAGATCTATACATAACACCAGGCCGTCTGTGCAGAAGCCTCATGCCTCTGTGGGAGCTCTGGGTGCTTAGAGCACCCCCAGTACCATAGCAGAACTTTGCCCACTAATGACTGCCCTTAAGACTCTCCTTAAAGGGGTTTCCCTCATCTGGAAGAATGCCATGGAAAATCAGCCTCAGGCAATATTACTCCATCTTTAAAATTTCCATGGGGACAATACACATCCCCCTTAGGTCAATTACCTCGCTTCCTGGCCTCCCCTGCCCGTACACTGATCCAGAGAGAATCCTCCATTTGAGCAGGGGATGGGAGTAGCATTGCTGCAGAGTCAGCTGACCTCTTGTGGCTCAGAAGGAGTGATAGTGTGCACAAATATGACACTAAATCCATGTTAGATGTGCAGTGCTCAGTGCACCAAGACTTGATCATATACCATGCTTACGCTACATAATCTGTAATTCTCATTAAGAAGCATTAACATTCGGAAGCTGTTGTAGTAGCTAAAGCCACTTGAGTCTTTATCGAATTAACTTGGAATTTACGGTGGCACTGAAGACCCTATTTTAAACACTTCATTAGCCTTGAAAAGTACTTTTCCCGCTTTGATACTGACAGCTAAACATACCTAACACTTGTCGGTGTATAGGAAACTAATGTTTCCTCTCATTTCTGCCCAATGCTTGTAAACGACAAAAAAAAATCTGTCCAAACTGGTTGTACTTCTCAGGTGGTATTGGCTGACAGAAAGCTTTATGTTGGTTCTCGCATGGCAAGAAAGGCATGCTGGCTACATGACACTGAGCCTATAATAAAAATGCCAGCTATACTCCGGAATGCACTGAGGACTTTGCCATTGCTGAATTTGAATACAAATTTTAAGTGGGAGGATGTGAATTCCTCTTTCTGATCACCTAAAGGATCAGTAGAAATTGGAATGCATAATGCTCATCTTTTCGTGACCTAAGCAAGCAAGAGTACTGGAGTTTTGCCAAGGCTTATGTTCTTCTCCCAGTACTGTTAGGCACACAAGGTTAAAACTGTATGAAACTATTTAATTCATATTGTAAAATTATAGGTCTTTCTTAGATTGAATAGGTAGCTAAACGATGGGACGTTCATGTAGTTTTTGAGGCGTGAATGCTGTTCGACATACTTAACCGGCATTTCCTGACACTGTAGCTATGTTTACACTGCAGTCAAAGGTGTGTTTGCAGCATAGATTGGCATACCTGCACTAGCTTTAATTTAGCTAGCATGGCTAAAAATATCAGTGAAACCATGGCGGCATGGGCTTCAGCGTGGGATGTTGAAGCCTGCCGGGGACCCTGGGTGCGTGTTTACCTTGCTAGCCTGTACTAGAGACTGTGCGCTGTGTCTTCACTGCTATTTTTATCCATGCTAGATTGCAGCTAGTGCATGTATGCCAACCCGAGCTGCAGTCACATCTGCGATTGCAGTGAAGACATGCCCTTCATATGAAATTCATGTATGTGTTTGGTAATTAAGTTCTGTTACTATTATGGGGCCGTGTCTTATAGGTGCTCAGTGCACAATTCCAGGTGGAACCACTGGGAGTTCCATGCATGGAATGGCTGCTCCTCCAGGCCCATAGATGTAGAATACCGAGGATTTGATCTTTTCTATTCTGTTATGCATTAATGTTTTTTTATTTGCTTGATGCGAATGGATGATGTAGTTACTGTTCACGATGGGCATAATAGTGAAGTCCTTCATTTAGAGCAACCATTGATTTCAGCACTTTCACCTTGGTAAGGACTGTGAGACTAAGGGCTTTAATTCCTTTTATTACGTATTCCATTTTATTATATATTTTAAATGCAGGTATTGAAGATAAGGAAAACTGGCATGGTAAGCCCCTTCCAAAAAACATGGCTGAACACGTCATTCAGGAAATTGATGGCAAAATCCAGAGCAAGAAAAAGCTTTCCCCAGCCCTCCCAGAAGAGGATGCACCAGTCATAAATATTAGAAACATTAAGATGTCATCTGCACCAGATTACAAACTAGGAGAAAAGGTACCACACTGTCTACTAACATGTACCTGTTTTAGGGATGAGAGGGAGGTAAAAAATGCTGTCCAGGAAAGTGCTTCCTTGTACTTTCCATTCTGTTGGGTGAATTATTTACCAAATGAATGGCAATGAATTCTGGGTCTTACACTAGACCCTGTATAAATAAAAACAGTTCTCTTTTTGTGCGGTGTCCTTCACCTGTCTACCATAGGTGTTCCCCATTAATTTCCTTTTTTAACTCTGCTCCTCTGCCATGTGACCTGCCTGATGCTGGGGGATAGTGTGTTTAAATGGGCAGGGTTTTTATGAAGAAAGGGCTAAATCATGTTCCCCTTATTCAGATGTCGAGATTCTCCTCTCATGTACACCTGTGGAGTTACATGATGGGGCGAATGGGAGAAGAATTGAAACCATTGACTTAAAAGAGACTAGCTGCGTGAATATGATGACAAGGGTTTGACTCCAAATTTCCAACATGGTAGTTGGGAGGGATTCACTGATTGCCTCAAACCCTTTAATATTGGTGTGAGTTTAAGTTGTTAGTTGTCCACACTAGTTAGTTGCCATGTATCCTGCATTCAAGTTGAAGCTTAAAGGGCAAAGAACTGTGGGTGAGTCACCTATAGCAGCTCTTCCACACACTGATGTTCTCAAACATCATTGAAGTCACTTCTGTGGCTGAATATAAGTGTTCAGTTTCCATAGAGTTGTTAATATTTTCATCTTCTTGTTGAAGTGCTCAGCCAAAAATAAATCCGAGTGAAGAACAAAGTTGTTTGTTGAATGTTTATACCATACGGAATTTTGTTCTACATATTTTTTTTAATGTCTGAACAGGCATACAGTTTTGACTGTGCAGATAGTAGATTATAGACATCATATCTGGATTTAAAGAAAAGCAAGTATATGTGTGTTCTATTCAGACTAAATAGACCTGACACTGTATTGTATTGCATTTTCCCTATCGTTTTCTCTTCTGACTTCTGTTTTGGGTTTATTACATTTCTTGTATGTGTCTTGATAGTTTACATTTAAAATCTTGATAGAGTTTACACTTTAATAAAATATTTTAACATACCTCAAACAAACAAAAAATCCCATTCACAACCTAGTAACAGTACTGCTTTATTTTCCTCTTCAAAGATGGCTACCCGCAAAGCTTATGGCCTCGCACTTGCGAAATTGGGCCATGCCAATGACCGAGTAATTGCTTTAGATGGAGACACAAAGAATTCCACCTTCTCTGACCTGTTTAGGAAAGAACATCCCAGCCGCTTCATTGAATGCTATATTGCTGAACAGAACATGGTAATTATTTCCTTTGCTCTATGAAATACTGTGTACCCTGCAGCAGAAGATGAGACTTTAGATAATTTTGTCCTGGTGATAAATGTTTTAGCATTTGATTTTAGGTGTTTATCCAGGCATTGTAATTTGATTTGCCTTCTGCTTAGGAAAAAACTACATGGCAGGAATAATAACACAATGGAAATGCATCTTTAACAGGCGACTTAAAAAAAAATCACAACATTTGGCTTCTTAGCAGAACTTGCAAAGAGGCAAATGGAGTGTATGTAACAACAACATATCCCACAACATGATCTTTGGAGAGTCAGTTCAAGAGACTTGTTAACTCTCTCTTCTGACTGGAAATATAGAATGGCACAGCTTGACAATTTGTAACACAAGAGTGAGTGTAAAAAGTTGAGGACAGAGGGAGAAAATTAGGCAATATTGTCCTTATGGTTTTTATAATGACAGGGTTAAAAAATCTATTATGTCATAGAATAATACAATGTTCTTTCAGCCAAATTCTGTCTGACACTTGTGCAACCTCATTGAAGCAAATGAAACTGCCTGGGTGTAACTGAGAGCAGAATTTGGCCATTGGTTTTTAATAACTTGTAGCCTAAGGACCACAGGATCTCCTCTCGCATGTTTCGTTTCAGTATACTTCCAGTGACTTCTGTGAAGTTACTCCTAGTTTACATTCATGTCAGTGAGAGAAAATCAGCCCCAAGAGCAGAGTAATATCTCTGTGATAATGAAATAAAAGGTACTGTGTAAATGTATCAAGGGATTCTAAAGATAACCTGACATAGGGCTATGTTCTGCTCTCATCTACATTGGTGAAGCACCTTTGTGGTAGACATCAGTCCGAAGCAAAGGTGGACAAACCCATCCATAGCTGTTTACATCATCACTCTCTCTGCAAATTGGAGGTAGTAAAATCTCCAGATTGAAAATGCACAGCCTTCATTTACAGAAAAAGAAAAGATAAGAGGAAGTCAAGTCTGAGAATCCTCAAAATGGCTGGCTGGAAATAAGTGAAGAAAAGATGTTGATGCTATACAAACAATCAATTACAATTAAATAAATAGAATGGATGCTACTGGGGTTTCCACAGCAGAAGGATTGGGTGGGAGAAATTGCCTTTGCTTTCCCTAGGTGAAGATCCAATTAATAGGGACAAGATTTGAAGTTAGTGAAAGAGAGAGATTTTAAGTAGGAATTTCTGGAGGTACTTGTCACAAGAGATAAAGAGGTTTCACAGTGAAAACTCCCACAGACCATCATGACAGGTTTCAGAGTAGCAGCCGTGTTAATCTGTATTCGCAAAAAGAAAAGGAGTACTTGTGGCACCTTAGAGACTAACCAGTTTTCCTTGTTAATTGACTTCCCTCTTCTTGCTCCTCCCAGGTGAGCATTGCAGTTGGCTGTGCCACTCGTGACAGGACTGTTGCTTTTGCGAGTGCCTTTGCCACCTTTTTCACCAGAGCTTTTGATCAGATCCGTATGGCTGCCATTTCTGAGAGTAACATCAATCTCTGTGGCTCTCACTGTGGCGTTTCTATTGGTAAGTGCAACCTGGAGTTATTGACCAGAAATTTTCAGTGGCTTCAGTGATGACCATTCACATCTCTGCTATTGACTAGCTGTGTGACTTTGATAGTCACTTGCTCTCTCTGCCTCATTTTCCCTATCCCTGAAATGGGAGAATAATGATACCCACTTTTGTTCAGCGCCATGAGATCTATGAAAGATACAACGTTGGTCTTAGATATTAGTCGATTTTTATTATTGTTATGGGAGATAGGACTTGCTGTTTAAACTTACCCATTTGATATAATTATTTTGACTTATCACAGTGTTTCTTACTTACTGCAGTCATTAATAAACTTATTAACAGCTAAATTTCTTAACCTTACAGGTAGCTTAGAAAACTAGGATCTGTGAAGTAGGTGCACAGTTAAGGAATTTGCAGTACCCCTTCCGGTTTTTGCTTACCTCCACAACTGCTCAATGCATGTCTGTTTATTCTGGGGGATGGACTGAGCGAAAAGCATAAAGATTGCAAAATGAAAGCAGGAGCAGATTTTCATATTGTGTGTGTATTCCTAAATGTACATGAATAAGCTATGCTAATATATAAATTATACAGTATAATGACATCCACACTAGGGATTTGTACCACTTTAACTTTACCACAAGTCAATATAAAGCAGTACAAAAACATCCTGTAGACAAGCTGGAAGATGGAGCCTTGTCCCAGCTCAGTGGATGGTTGTGTACTATATGTCTTCATATCAAAAACTTAGGGATTATCTACGCTGGCACTTCATCGGCAAAACTTTTGTCATTCAGGGGTGTTAAAATAAATTCCCCACAAACGACCAAAGTTTAACTGACAAAAAGCACGGGAGTGACCAGTGCTTTGTCAGCGCGAGTGCTCTCCTGCCGACAAACAGCACCTCCACTGCGTGCCTTTTAGCAACATGGATGTAGCGGCACAGCCGTGTCACTAAAAGCCTCATAATGTAGCTATAGCTGAGTGTCTCCACACCCCCTGTAGCATATAGGGTTATGGCATGGGTGTATCATTAAGTTTTTTTCTTTACAAAGCTTGTTATGTAAAGACCAGTCCTCCCTTTCATCGTCTGTAGCTCCCACAATCTAACACTAATGTGTTTAACCAGCAGCAAAATCCGAAGGAACAAGAGCCTCTTCCCCATCAGAGAAATCAGTGTCTATCTTTAGCTTTCACTGGCTGGGGAGAATGAGACTCCAATAATTAGCTGAACTGCCTTTGTGAGAGCAAAAAGAAAAGGAGGACTAGTGGCACCTTGGAGACTAACCAATTTATTTGAGCATAAGCTTTCGTGAGCTACAGCTCACTTCATCTGATGTGAGAGCAGTGATTTCTGATCTGCTTCATGGCCTTTGTCATTTGGACTGTTTTACTGTGGAGCTACAGTGGGGACGCCATAGTTAATTGGTTATAAGACCGTTTCCATTATAAGTTGGATTTTGTCCCCACTTCTAACCTTTTTGAAAAAAACTTCTTTGCACCTAAAATTTTGTATGTCTACCAACAGTCTTGCAAAGGAGAATATTTGGGAAAAATTGGTAAGAGTCCTTTTGAGATAGAAAGGCTCAAAAAGAATTGTTGTTTACATTGTTTGGAAAAAAAAAATCTTTTTATAGAAACCCCTGGCTCACACTGAGTTCAGAACCTGAACTGGCCAGTGGTGGAAATTGACGTGAAGATTGGGCACACAATTGTGTGTGATCCTGGGCTTCTGTGGTTTTGAAAATTGGGCCAATAAAATAAATGAAGGGTCAGAGTCAGATTTGTAAATATGTACTTTACACAACAACAACAACAAAATAGCTAGTCACCTGATTAGATCAAAGTGGTTTATGAGCCATTACAGTCTGTTATAGAAGCCAATAAGTGGACAGTATAAATCTGTATGAACAGAAATTACAGTGTGTACATGAATGTTTTAAATATCTCTGCCATCTTAATGATTGTTTTTAATGTACAATATTAGTGATTATAACATGTTGGCAAATCACGTGACATTTTGTCATTCAAGCCATTTTGTGGGGAGTTCAAAACCCCAACTTTCTTGGGTTTTGTTGGAGCCAGGGGGGTTGTTACATAAAAACTTGAATAATTTTCTATTCTTAGTTGCCCTTGTATGCCAGATTTCTGCTTTAACAGGATTTTTACTTAAATAGTAATTTTTTGGCAGAACTGTCTCTTAATACTTATCTGTAAAGCACCTTGAACATTGTTGGTGCTAAACAATAATGGATAATATTGAAGGTGGATTGTAAAAGCCTGAAATATAATTGGAAGTGGAACTAACACTAGAATCTTTATCTTGGGTTTTGATTCAATTGCCTGTTAGTAGTATTGAATTTCAGGGTTTTTTGCTTTGTCCATTAGTTGTTGTGGCCTTTCTGCTTGCCACTTTCAATGGGAAGCATAACCACTGTGCAGACCTAATGATGGGAAAACTCCTATTGAAGTCCCATTCAGTGCAAGTGCTTGTATGTACATGCATGTCAGTGGGAGGTTTTTCCCATGTCATGACTGTGGGTTAAGACTCCTTGTTCACTTTTGCCCTGGTTCCAACATTATTTTCATTGAACTTACATAGGAGCCAGGGTTTGGTACTTCTTTTTTTTGGTACTGTTTGAAAATTCCTCAGTTGTGGTTTTTTTTTGGGGGGGGGCTTCTCTTATGAAAACACACTCTTCTTCTCCTTTCTCGTCAACTCTTTTGTAACAGATAGGCTTTGCTCCTGCTTGTCCTTTGCCATTGCAGGCAGTGACATGACTGGATTCAGGAGTCTTTGCAGGGTTAGTCTGGAATAGTGCCATCTCCAGAGCCCTATTACGTAAGGGCATTCTGTTGGGTTTTTGTTTTTAACTGTGGCGACTCATGGCTTACAGAACGCTTTTCTGTGTCGTCTTTTTATAGACCTGCAATTTATGCCATAAGATACTTGAACAGTTAAATGAATAATATCTGTACTTTCTACTGCTCTTTCATGAGACTATTTACTACAATATATGGATCCTCATTTAGTCTTTTAAACAAACATAAAAATCTGAAAATAATCATATCAAATGGGCTATTAACTGTTGATGAAGTAGAAGTGATTTTCCTTTCACATTTCCAGCAGTCTAAATCCAGAGTGACACCATTTACTTGAGCGTAACTTTTGCTTACAAAACTTCCGTGCTGAACTGTAAATCTGAAGGTGCTATGATGTCTTATAGCTCCTCCTCTTACTTCCGTACACTTCCTGTTTTAGTTGCTTCTTTCTTTCCTATTGTTTTGTTTTTGCATTTTATTTTTGTTTTTTTTCTTTATAACCCTAGTTCTCTTTCTTTTTAGTTTCCTTCTGTCTTCTTATTTACTATTTAGATGGTTCCAAGTTTAAAGAGAAGATGATTCTTTTCTGAAGCAGGTAGACTTGCATGTCCTCTGTGTGCCTGATATATATTATTTTGACCTTCTCTGCTGTAATGAGTCCCCAGAGCAGACAGTCATTCCATTTTGTGCCTGTTTTTTTTCTTCTTTTAGGTGAGGATGGACCTTCTCAGATGGGGCTGGAAGATCTGTGCATGTTCCGTGCTGTTCCCAATTCAACTGTCTTTTATCCTAGCGATGCTGTATCTGCTGAAAAAGCAGTAGAAATAGCTGCTAACACTAAGGTTTATGCCATAGCATTTCTGAACTGGAAAATATGTATTTGTTTTAAATGTATTTTTAATAAGTGATGGAAATTTTGTTTGTTACTAGCCCATCTTTTGTATGCCTCAGTTTCAAAGGCACTGGCATTGTGGCAACACATCTCCTTCAGTTAGAGAAGTCTGATGATATGTCTATACTGGAGTTGCAGGTGTGATTTCCAGCTTGGATAGATGATGTCATGCTGTGTGGAGTGTCTAAAGGCACTGTCAGACTATCAAAAGGCAGGGCAGACACCCCAGACTGGTGGTATGTTCTATAATTAGATTTCCCCTCTACTTCAGAGTCCAAACTGATGGGATGAGTTCACGCATAGGTCTCTCCTTCCTGGAGGGAGTTAGGAATGCAATCAACAAGGCCTCTCTCCTTTGATGCTACACAATACCCATTTGCCTTCAGTGGGCCATCTTGTAGGCAGGACAGGTTTGGTGAGTTACACACTTACAGAGGTTTAGAATGCAAATGCTCAGTATAATTTATACCAGGAGTCTCAAATTCAAATGATCACGAGGGTCACACGAGGACTAGTACATTGGCCCGAGGGCCGCACCACTGACCACCCATCCCCCTGCTGCCCCGCCTCTTCCCACCCCTTCCCTGCCCCCAGGGGGTGCAGGAAGTGTGTGGGGTGCGGCAGGGGGATCAGGACAGGGGTTGGGGTGCAGGAGGTATGCGGCAGGGGGCTTAGGGCAGGTGTTCGGGGTGCAGGAGGGGTGTGGGGTGCAGGAGGGGGCTCAGGGCAGGGAGTCGGGGTGGGGGGAGGGGGGGCGGGTCTGGCCTGGTGTGCACCTTGCCCTGCCCCCGCGCCGCTCCGGAAAGCGGCTGGGACCTGGTGGGGGGAGCCACAGGTGTCTGTGTGTTGCCCTGGCCGCTCCTCCAGGTACCTCCACCGAAGCTCCCATTGGCCGGAAATGGGGAACTGCAGCCAGAGCTTCGGGGGAGGTACCTGGCGGAGTGACCAGGGCAACACACAGACCCCTGTGCCTGTCCCCACCCCCCCCATCCCGGCCATTTCCCAGAGCGGGGCAGGGCAGGCAGGGAGGGAGCCTGCCCTGCCCCCGGTGTACTCCAGGCCGGAGCCGCTCTAGGTAAATGCTGGGAGGGGCTGTGGGGAGTTGGCGGGCCACAGAAAATAACCCCGCGGCCGCATGTATGAGACCCCTTTTTTATAACATGGGCTATAGCGGTTATAAGTGACATCAGTACATGCAGCACCCTACAAGCATTTTAAAAAGTCTAAACACGTTCCTGTCAACTTAACATCTAATATCTATTTTGATAATGCTAATATACGGGCAAACAAAACTGGTTTCCAGCTATGCATTTGTAAGTGTTCAGTGAGGCCTGGGGCCTTGACATATGCTGCCACCTGGTCTGCCAGTGTCACGGCTGTATCTGCTAGCTCTGATTGAGCTAATACGCTAAAAATAGAAGCATAGCCACAGTGGTGCAAGAAGCAGGATGGGTTAGTCAGCCGAGTACATGCCTAGGATTTCAGATGGGATTGTACTCGGGGAGGCTAGCCTGTCCTGCTGCTCGCCCTTCTGCATCTGCGCTTCATTTTTCATCAGAGCTAGCATGCGTATATCTGCCTGAGCTGGAAATTAGAGCTCCGGCTCCGGTATAGACAAACTCTGCCCTGACTCGTGCTGAGTGCGCAAATGGGAGATGTGTTTTACTCTAGGGCACGTTCACGTAAATGGTTGAACAGTGGTCACACCCTGGGTCTAAACTGGTTCAAAAATGTGGGGAATGGTATGGCGTAACTAGCTCTGTTTTGGTATTCAGTGGGTGGGCAAAAAGCATAACATACCCCAGTGTGGTGTTCTGTGGGGTACACATTCAGCCCAGCTGAGTGTAACTTGGAGGCATTGGGGATGGAGTGGACAAAAATTAAAGCATATGCGGGAGTTCCTCCGCTGGTGTAAGTCACTGTAGCGCCATTGGACCTATGCTGACTTACCCTACCTGAGGATCTGGCACTTTTTCTTCCAGTCTCCTGTTAATGAGTTAAGAGATTGGGCTATCATTCAAGAGATCATAACACTTTTGGTTAAGAGATTGGGCTATGATTCAAGAGATCTAAATTCTGTTGGTGCTGCCACAGACTTCCTGTGTCACCGTGGGCCAATCCCTTAACTTCTCTGGGATTTCATTGCCCATCTCACAATGGGGATCTGAGGATAAATCCATTTATGTTCCTGCTTACTCCAGGCTGTCTTTGACTGAATTTGATCCATTGTCTCCAAAGATTGCTGGCAACAAAACGTCAGGTGCTGCAGTCCCTGCTTGTGTGAAACTCCTATTGATTAAAATAAGAGTTTTTGCCGAAACCAAGATTGAATAACCTGAGTTGCTGCTCCTGTGCCTCTCCTAATGCTGCCTTAAGCAAAGCAGGGTTGAGATGTTGGTGTGTCAAATATGGCCAATCGTAAGAGAGATGCAAAACATAGAGCAGGAGAGCAAGAGCAAGGGAAAAGAGGGAAGGAATACACGTAGTGGTTTGTTAAAAGAATTGATACTTTCCTTTGGAAGAGCGCTTGAAAATGAACAGAAAAAATATAAACTTCCTTGCTTTTAGTTGAGGCTTTCCTCTTTTGCCTAGGTTTTTTTTATCTTTAGCTTTTCTAGCAGTGTGGTACGATTTTAAATCCCAGTTAGGTCAGGTAGGATTTTCATTTCCAGAAGCAAAAACTGGATGACCTTTGGAAGAGAAGTAAGATATTAAATTGCTTGTGTACCATGACAAAGAGGTTAACTGTGCAGCGATGACTGAGAGTAGTGGTAATTGAAAAGCACTAGTGATGGATTTAGGGAGAATTGTGGGGCAGGGAAAGTTCGCTCAATAAAACCACTGATAATATCGAAGGGATGAAACCCAGAGCTAAGTGGAATGAAAAAAATCAATTTCTGGACAGTTTGTTTTATGTGTGTAAAAATTAGAATGCCTTAGCCACAGCTGTTTTTGTAACTCAGGCTGTGTTCCTTTTGGAAACAGGGCGTTTGTTTCATAAGGACCAGTCGTCCTGAAAATGAAGTTATCTATAGCAGCAACGAGGACTTCCAGATTGGACAGGCCAAGGTAAGTACTGTCTAGAGAACTGTGCCATCTGAAATAACATACCAGGTTCCTTCTTAAAAAACCCTTCTTCTCCAGGGTATTCTGTCTCCACCTAGTCAATACGTAAAGAAAACTAAAGGAATCTTAGTCAAATAGCCATCAACAATATTTATCATAAAGAGGAAACTAAAAAAATATATAATTCTCATTTGCTTTTTCCTCTCAGGTGGTGGTCAAGAGTAAGGATGACCAGGTCACTGTTGTTGGAGCAGGAGTGACTCTGCATGAGGCACTAGCTGCAGCAGAGCAGCTGAAGAAAGGTGAATGGAGGTTTCTTTAGGTCTAGTTACAGATAAGTAATCAGTACCAGCCAACCTGATTGGTGGATAGCTGAGTCTTCTGTACAGATAAATGTAAACTCTGCTAATCAGAAACTCATTTAAATATAAAAACCTGTTCTAGAACAGCTGATCTCCTGTTAATTGAAATACACAATATGCATCTCATCCCGTAAATATGCACTCCTGTGAGTAATCCTATTTACTTTAGTGGGGCTGCTAGCAAGAGTAACTGTTGCTTCTCTGTTCTCTTTAACCAGTCAGAATACACTAGTACGGCATACAGTGGCACACAGGCTGGATGCCATTGAACTACACCAACAACCAGGACTCAAAATGATAAAATCTGCCTTGGGTTACAAGTACCACCTGTCTCTGAAATTTTTTTTAAAATTATCATTTACACTTACTCTTTAAGTCCTGCATTATTTTATCACATTAGTTTTTGATTATGCCTTGTATATTGTTTGTTTGAAGATGGATTAATACACTGCAGTAAGCCAAAGCTTTCTAGGATATCTGAACCAGTTGGCTGAGTACTAACTTTTATTTTTTTTATTGTGCTCAGAATGTGCTAAACACTATATAAGGAAGGGATTAATTGTGTTGGCACACTTAGCTCTGTTTCAGTTAACAGGCATACTGAATAACAAATCTGACTGTTTATTTAAAATGTTTTGCATAAATTATTTGCTATAATAGGAATAAGATAATTGAAATAGGACTTTGGTACACAATGCTTCTTGCTGTAGGTCTGTTTCATTGCTATCTTGATTTTCGATCAGTGCCTCAGCATTTAAATAGAAGCAGGAAGCCCTTATCCTTTACAATGGTCTAGTCCACTGACATCTCTTGGAGTAAACAAAAATCCCTCAGTGGAATAATAGGAGAATGTGACCAACAAAATCCACCTCTTAATTCAATAACCTATGCCCAAAAATAGATTACAAGACATTCGGAATGTGATACAATTAATGCTTCAAATGGCTTTAGTGGGTAGCTCTGCACACTGTGCCTGGGTAGATAGAGGTTCTACCATGACCTTGTGCTGCTTGCGGCATTTTGTAAGTTTGATTCTTAGGGCCAGATTCTCCTTTACACTGTAACTGCTTTGTACTTCACCGCAAGCCCTAAAGTCAGTATAACCAGCCACACAGGGATCATCCCATTGTACGGGCATCCTCTGATGGCATAGAGCTGACATAGCAGCTCCTAAGCCATCCTCTAACTGTCAGCATAACATGGCAGAGGTTTCCTTGTGCCTCAGCGATCCCTGGCTGTTGTATTGGCCCCTTGCAGTGGTTGGTAGCTGGTACAAGTTAGACCAGGCCTCAGGCTGCTCTGACATATGTGAGAGCTGGCTCAACATGCAGCAAGCCCAAGAACAGGGGGAAGCTAAGGTAGCTTAAAGCCATTTTGTACATGCCCTTGAGTTGTGCTGTGCCTTAGCAGAAAACATGGGCCTCAGACTCTGAGCTGATGGCAGAGTAAACTCAGATTGCGTTGCTGGCTAGAGGAGAAGTAGCGATTGTGGTTTGTGAAATTCAAACAGTTTGCAAGTAGCAGATGACCTGCAATAAAAACTGTGTGTGAAAAGCCTTCAGTCTGGGTCCAGCTACCATACTGCATTTACTGTGAGGCAAAGGTCTCTGTGCTGAGAGCTGGAGCCATCTCCAGGGACTGAGGGAATGGGGAGGGAGCATTCATGACTCATGAGTTCAGAATAAAAAATTTGCAAATCATATTCTGGAAATGATTAGAGCCATTTTTTCAGTAATTATGCAAGAGCCTCTCAAGGTTTCGCACTGCATTTCTCACACAAGTTTTTAACTCACATTCTTCAAAGTCATATACCATATTGTACAATAACTTTACAATTCCACTTCTACAGAAAAAATCTACATCCGAGTGATTGATCCATTCACTATAAAACCCCTGGATAAGATAACTATACTTGAAAATGCAAGAGCAACCAAAGGCAGAATTATCACTGTGGAAGACCATTACCCTGAAGGTAAGCTGATTTCAGGTGGTGATAGCTAAGGCTATCTTTTGGTTACCGGTATTTTTAGTAAAAGTCATGGACAGGTCACGGGCCGTAAACAAAAATTTACAGGCCCATGACCTGTCCATGACTTTTACTAAAAATACCCACCCTGACTAAAATGGGCAGGAGTGCTCAGGGGGGCAAGGGTGCTACAAGTCGGGGCAGGAGGGGAGTCCGGGGCTGCTGGGGGAGGTGACCCGGGACCTGTGCTGGTGGGGCAGGTTGGCAGGGCTTCCTACCTGGCTCCACGTCTCTGCGGCTCCTAGGCAGTGGAGGCAGGGGCCAGAGCAAGAGTGCCTCTGCTGTTCCCACCACAAGCGCTGGGAGCTACAGGGCTGGGGCCTGGTGCCAAGACCCCCCCCCCTCTTCCTCTGCCTAGGAGCTGCAGGGGGACCCCCACCCCAGGTAAGCGCCTTCCCCCCGCACCCTCCTAACCCCTAGCTCTGAGCCCCCTCCCAGACACCCAAACTGCTGCTGCTGCAGAAGTTACGGAGGTCACGGAAATTCACTGAATCCATTACAGACCTGCAACCTTAGTGATAGCCCACAGAGCTGGCCTGTCAAGCCTACAGTCTCTTCTTGACTTTTGAGACTCAGAAATATCATGGCTGATCTCATGGCTTTATTTCTTTCAAAAAAAGTTTCCAGCCATCTTCCTTGCAAAGTTATCCTTAACAATGGAAACTGATCGTGAGGGGTGAAAGTCTCTGTTTTTTCCTTAAGGTACTGGGTTAATTAGAGGCCCCCTGTAGTTACCGTTTCCGTTAGGGTCCTTCCTTAAACATGGATCCGGTGAAATCTTGATCCTTCTGTTCCTGCTAATACTATAAACTCCAGAGGTGGTAGGGTGATTGTGGGACTATAGCGATCGCCTCTCCATACTGGCCAGCAGAGAGCATATACAGCAGCCAGTGTGTTAAAAGATGTAATAGATGCCACTGCTATGTGCACTTCCTTGGCATTCCCTGAGTCACTGGGCTCAATGCTGGATTGCTTGGCATACATTCCCAGTGTCCTCTCTTCATTCCATAATCTGTGCAGCAGCGGCTTGCCAGGCCTGTTATATTCCCTGTCGTTGCTGTGGGGTACCTGGAGAGCACCAGAGGGGTAAAAAGTCATGTGAGGGCCTATGGCAAAATATCTTCTGCCTGCACAAGTCTTCAGTGGCTTCCCTGTGTAAAAGTGTCCTGTGAGGGCAAGACTTTACATTACACAAAGGGGAACAGATTGCTGTTTCCATGATCTACGTGTCAGCCTTGTTCTGCGTGGGAGAGAAGCATTAAAAGGGACGTCATTAGAGGAACAAACATGAAGTACGGCATCATTAGATATTGTCACTGTGGGTTTGTCCTGGACTGGGGTTTGTGTTCAGTGTTTCAGCCTGCGTGAGATAGCATCATTGTAAATACTGGTCTAGACACGCCACTGTTCCAGAACACCAATGCTGGTAGTTTGACTGAGCACGTGCTTTTTTGCACCTATTCTCCGCTCTACATAGATGTTTTTACTGTAACTTTGCATGACTAGACAATTGCCTTGGCAGGGTGAAATTCACTTATTGATACAGTTACACTGGTTCAGCCACCTACACATGGTGTAGCCCAAGAGAATCCAGCCCATTGTGTCTGCCTTTGCAAGACAGCTTCCGGCAGCTGTTGTTGGTAGATGACTCCTCTTTCTACCTCTCTCCCAGCATCGTGCAATGACTCAGCCTCCGATTTACGAAGATATTTAGGCACCTAAAGATTTATAGACATCTAGTAGGATTTACAAAATGCCTAAACCAGGGTGCCTAAATCCCCTTGAATTCAGTGGGGGTTAGGAACCTAACTCAGGTGCTTTTATAAATTCAACGTTCTCTTGGGTTGCACCATATGTAGGTGGCTGCTGGGCCAGTGTAAATCAATAGTTTAATTTCACACTGCTGAGGTGATGGTCTTGTCACGCAAAGTTACAGTAAATCTGTCTTTCAGTGCCAGATTCTGAAAGATGCTGCTGACCTCTTGAGAGTTCTCTCTATCTTAAATATATTTATATAGCTCCCCATTACCATAGTATCTGAGCACCTGACAATATCCTTGTGAGGTAGGAAAGTTTATTCCCATTTTGCAAATGGGGAGCTGAGGCACAGAGAGACTAAAGGTAAAATTTTCAAAATCATTGAACTGACTTAGGTGCCTCAGTCCCATTGACTTTCAGTAAGAGTTAAGCTCCTAAGTGCTTATAAATCACTTAAGATCTTTTGAAAATTTTACCTGAAGTGACTTGCCTGGGTCTCTCTCTGTCTGTGGTGAAGTGGGGAATTGAACCTGGCTTGCCTAAGTCTAGCCTGTGGGAGGTGACAGTGCTGATACTGCAGCCTTATCATGGGAACAAAACAAATTTGTAACCTTTAGATCTTCCAAATTGTCTTTATTTTAATAGCTGCAGCAAGTTGCTTATGCAGAAATAGCCTGTTAGTCTAGACACTCTGAATTTTATGAATGTTACTGTCTTTTTCCTAGGTGGCATTGGAGAAGCAGTGTCAGGTGCTCTAGTTGGAGAGCCTGGTATCACAGTTACTCGCTTGGCTGTATCCCATGTGCCAAGAAGTGGGAAACCAGCTGAGCTCCTTAAGATGTTTGGCATTGATAAAGATGCCATCGTGCAGGCTGTTAAAGTGGCAGTTTCCAAATCAAGGAATGCAGAGTAGTTTGAAGCATCGCACGTTGTGTTACATCAGACCAGTGTTCAAAACTATACTGTGACTTGGAGGAGAAGGTGCTTAAAATATATGCAGAGAAGGTCTAATAAAAATACAAGATTTAAACAAAATAGTGTGTTAAATCATTTTACTTACAGGGGCTTTTATGCAGTGTGGTGGTGTCTGAATATAAACATCCTAGTGTCTTTTTAGGTCACTTCATACTGTTCTGGAATGTCAGTCTTTTGGGGCATGGAACATGCCTCCATTTATCTCTCACCTGTTTTTCACAATTTTAATTGCCATGTTTCTTAGTTACATAATGTATTTGTAAGGGTTTATTTCCCTCCCAGGCTAGCAGCTCTCTCTGCTCAATTCTGTAATTAGGTCTGAATGCTGAATTTGTGACTGTGTCCATTTCTGTTATAAGAAGCAGGGAATTCTCAAATGCAGGAATATATCAAGTCAGAGGAGAAGCTCGATTGGATTGTGAACTTCCATTCAAAGAAACCCCTGAAACAGGTGTATACACTGTATAATTCCCCCTCCCTCCCCAGCATACTCCAGTTTGAAACACCTTCTTTAAGTTCTTCTCCTGGGTCTTTATATTTCTATATATATCACCATTGTGATGCTTCCCAGCGGTATCCAGGGTTGTGAGGCACCCTGCTACCACCACTTCAGCATGGGGGGGTCTTGTCTGTGCCTGTTGTGGATCAGCTCCCTTAATCCACCAGTCTCTGGCACCACAAGCTTTACCCTCACAGGTCTCACACTCTCGATACAGTGATAGGCACACAGTGACCGCCGATCACGCCCAGCGTTCCTCTGGAGTGCTCGGCCCCAATCCACTGGACGCTCACAGAACTCTGATTTCACTATTCCCGAAGGAATAGTACACACCTGTTTGCAAGGTCCAACTCGGGATCACTTAACACACAGCACTTAGATACACAGATAGTGAAAACAAGAATAAGTTTATTATCAAAGAACAGATTCCAGTGGTAGAAAGTACGAGTACATAACCATTTGTTTCCAATATAAAACAAAATCATAACATGCTTTCTAGAGCCTAAACTTAACTCTCAAGATATACCCCTAGCTGCTACAATTTAGCTTACCCCAAGTCCTTTTCTTAACATTTTCAACCAGTTTGGCTAAGATTCTCCTCCCCCCCATAACTCCTCACATTTTCCATACATACATCTTACAGTGATTGTGATGACCAATGTGACACAGGTTTTCACTAGAAACCTTACATGACATGACTTACTTTGACAGGCTAGAATGTAGATGTAGATACCAGACCCAGAGGATCCCTGTAACCCTTCTATGCTCCAGTGCTCTCTGTCAGTTGGCATCAAGAGGTCCTTGGGTCACACCCATTAAAAAACTTTAGGATGAGATTCTATGCTTCAGCTTTGACGAGGTGCAGCACAGATTTTGTAGCCTGGAGAGATGGTGCGCTAAGGTGCTTTAAGTTACTTTTCCGACCTCCTGATTCTGAGCTTTTCAAGGAACAGGAGAGGCCCGCAGCATAATTAGACACCTCTAAGTTATGGCCACCTCCTGGGGATATACTATGGGCCACAGCACTTCCCAGAATCTCTGCAGTGATGCTGTGGCCCTGCCCCTAACACACCCTCCTACCCCTGGCATGTCCCCTATGACAGGGTTTGTAAGAGTGTCCTTGTAAGTCAGCCTGCTGCCTGTCCTCTTGAGTGTCTAGTGTCTGCCTGTGCGAAGGAAATTCTCTCCCAGACAGAACTAGGGCTTTTAGGGCTCCTTTTCATCACCCCATCCATTTTACCGAGCATAAAGGGGTTAGAGCAGAGGTGAGGATCTCACTCCTGGTTCTTTGGAAAACATGTTAGTGATGAGCTAGATTATCCATATGCAGTATTCAAGGACCCACATACAGGAGCTGTGATAACTTGTCCATGGGCAGTATCTCCTCTTATGAATTCCAGTTTACCTCACCTCTCTGCCCTGAGTTTGATTAAGCACAATATAGTAGGTTAGTACTCTGGCAGAACATTAATTTCAGTATATTCAACAAAGAGGGAGGATATACTGTTCCCCTTCTCTTCAACCCTGCCGAAGACAGCTTATGCAAGCTGAGTCACCCCCTTCTAGAACAAGACATATTCTACAGCAGAAGAAAAGGAAGATGTTTCTTAGCCTTTGTTATGAGCGCAGGATGAAAACGTTCATAATGTTCTATTACAAAATATGCAAACATAGTCTGCTTGAGCAGTTCTAACTTTGTCTGAACTTTTGTTTTCAAAGTGAAGTTACATTATGTATGACAAAGGATTGTTCAACAAAGGCATAGAAACAATGCATATAATCAGTTAGCTGTGACCATGAGCATTTCAATAATGCTACTATTAATACTCTTAATACATTAATTCTTCATGTAAACATCTATTTCAGTGATCCACTGTTTTCATGCAGACCACCTCACAATTAATGTTATTCCTGAATAAACAAATTGAGCTAAATTAAGCAAAAAAGGTCAGAGTGGTTACAAATAAATGCTTACAATTTATTTTCTCTAGTCTGCTGAGCAAGACTGAAAATATAGTTCCTTTGCCCTTAAAATAGGCTGTGTTGGGTTAATATCTTAAGATGTCTTTTTTCAGTTTCTTTCTCTTATCCCTCCCCATGCATTTTTATGCCTTCATATACTGTAATGTATAACATTTAGTTTTTTAATCACTTTTTTTTTGCTGTCTTCAGCACTTTCCACTGTTTATAGTTCTACAAATTTGCAAAAAAAACCCAACCCTATAAAATGACAGGTTTTCCAAATCTGCAGTTCATTATTTAGTTTTATTCTTTTTTGAACCACTTGTTTTTTTCCTCAGACTGCTGTCACAGGAAGAGAAATTAAATTTGCTGTCACTAATACATTTTTGCCTTTTGCTATACACTGTGTGTAACATCTCACCTGGCTTTCATTGCAAGTCATTATGTTCTAAGCACAGTTTATTGAGGTCTGCTACAATAAATTAGCTAATCCAAAGTAATTGTTCTATTGGTGTTCAAGCAAGCAGCTGAGGTTTGCCTGGCTCATGGTTTCACAAGGTGTGAAGAAAGCAGAGCTTCTGAGTGCCAAGGTTGCCTCTTTGAGGAAAGGTGCTAACAAAGTGCTTTGAAAAACAGCCTTGACTAGTCCACATGCTCAGATAGCACTCTTATAATGCAGGGCTCCAGCCAAAAGGGAATAGCTCCAATCAGCACTGGTGCTAGCGGGGAGGTTTAGGTGGGTGCAACATGAAAAGTAAACCTGACCCGGAACGTGGGGGAGGGAAAGAACCCCACAAGGGTTTCCGAAGACTTTTTAAACCATCAAGGGCCTGATCCAGAGCTCAATGAAGTCTATGCAAGTCATTTCTTGACTTCAATGGGCTTTGGATCAGACTTTGCAAGTGGGACCGACACAATTATATGGGTGGGGAAAATAACATTATGTATTACCTGCATAGCTTAGAATGAATTTATAACAAACACAGCCTATTTTACTGGCTGCACTGAGCCACAAAACATGTCAAAGGAAAGGACAGGCCTATTGTACCGCAGTTTTTATTCCACAGTGGAGAGAATAACATTTTATGGTTAATGCTTCAATATTTTATAATAGCCATTAGATTTTATGACTGCACCATACAACAGCTTTATTCACTTTAGTACAATCAATCCAGAAAATTGTTGAATTCTCAGATCTTCTGTTCAGTCAACTTTTCTAATACCTACATGATGATTCAAAAAAAACAGGACTGTCAGGAGAATTCTGTTCAAATGAACTCCACTGGGTTGATTATTAAACTCCCTCCCCCCATGCCACATGTCTGGATTTTCATACAATTTTCATACATTTCATACATTAGCTGATAGTTGTATGAAGACCAAAAAGTAGGGATTTTTCCCAGTTCAGTCACATTTCTCATTCAAACATTGCCAAGAAGTAACGAAAGTTCTCCACAGTATATTAAGAATGTGAAAATGCTCTGCCACTCTCAATTGAGAGAAATGAATTTCTAAATAAAACAGGCTCAAGGAATGAATGATAGCCTACAGTACAATCTTTTTTTAAAAACAGAGCTAGTTCTCTGGCCCCAGTAGAAATGGGGTGCTCTGAGATAGCTCAGAAATATATCTACAGAGAATAAGACTGAGCAACAATGTGGTGTTACCTGGTATTTTGAATCTCTGAATCAGAGGAATGAATCTGTCAAGGACACTGTGAATTCGATGCACTATTTAAAAACAAAATACAGGAGTTGTTCAGGACCAGCGAGATTTCAACATAGAAGAAGTGAAATAGCAAAAGGTAAGAGATGATTATATGTTTGTTGGGGACAAATATCAAAGTGTTTCAGTTTGACTGTTTAAACTAGGTCCTCCTGCAGTTCTATTGCTAACAAAATACTGACTATGAACAAAGTTGCTTGCCAACAAAACAGTTCCACAAATTGTCAAGTGCCTTAATATTAAATAAGGAAAGGAGCTTTCTACTACTCTGTGATGTAACGGGAAACCTTAAGTTTGTGAACTGCATTTTCCCGCAATGAAATCACTTGAGTTTTTTTTTTTTTAATTCCAAGTAGCAATATTTGAGTGTTTTCTGATTGGAGAGCCATTCCTGCAAGGTGTGCTGAGCATCTTCAACTGCCTTTCCTCTCAATACGAGTTGAGGTTGTCCAGCACCTCACAGAATCAAACTCCGAGTACTCCCACCTTGCCAGATGTTGTGAGGATAGTATTATTTAACCACTGCTGGAGAATGCATCTCTGTATCTTCAGAGAACTTGTGATTGGTAAGCAGGGGAAAATGAGTCAGCGTCTTGTTTCAAATGTCAGAGGCCAGTGTGTCGCCAGGTGCGGCATGTAATTCTGAATGTGGGGGAGGATTATGTGATGTGATATTTTACATAATCTCAGTCTTTAGCATTTTTCTACATCTGTGTGTTTTACATGATCACTTAAACTCTGCATTTTCCAGGTACTGATATAAAGCTGCTTGTTTTCTTAGGTACTGTGAAATACACTTACCAAGACCAAAATATATTCCGGTGGTCTCTAGGGAAGCAAAGGTGATTAAACCAAAACCAAGAGAAATGATCCA